GGGCTTAGTTGCTCCGCGGCATGTGGGATCTTCCCGGACCGGGGCTCGAACCCGTGTCCCCTGCACTGGCAGGTGGATTCTTAACCACTGCGCCACCAGGGAAGCCTCCACCTACCTGTTTATCTTGTGGCACCTGGTGGGCCACATAGGATGAAGTTCATGGAAGGAAAAGTGCCAACTCCTTTAGTATACCAAGCCCTCCTCTGAGGCTGGCAACAGAAAAAGAATATTCCCTCTTGGAGGGCACAGGGGGCTGGACCTCACAGCCCCGATTCTACCTGGGGGGACTCGCTTGTTAATTCCAATGCATCCCCTCCTGTACTGGCCTGAGGGGGCGCTCTTCCACCTCTGATGCTCTGGTCGCCAAGTGGACAAAGTACCCTTCCCTTAACACTGCTGGGCCTCAGTTTTGTTTGTTTGTTTGTTTTATTGTATTTCTCTTTAAAAAAAATTTTTAACAATCATGTAAAGTTTTAAATCAGGAAATAAACTTTTTTAACTTAAAAAAATTTTTAAGACACATCAAGCTTTCTAGCTAGATATAGTCATGTATGAAAATCGTATCTTAGCACTTTTCTATATCACTTTTATAAACGGGATCATTTCAATGGCTGTGATCCTCTATATGAGTTAGAAGGCTAATTAAACATTGAAAGGCAAGGTTTTCACCACTAAATATTTAGTCTTATTTCAGTAAGACATTTCATTTAGACATAAAGTTTCACAAAACTACAGCTTGGGAGTGGTATAGCTATCTATTGACAGAGGCTACTTACATGTGTAACACAATAATAAACCTTTATGAAAATGTTTCTGCAGGTATGCTGGTGTCCTCCTGGGTATCATCACAAATACATCTGTGGGGATCAGTCTCGGGAAAAAGGCTGCTCTGGAGCTCCGGGAAACAAAAGCTGAAATAAATTATGTTTTCAGACAGTGCAAAGTAAGCTTTTAAGCTTCCACGATGTTGGGTGAGGCATTATAATGAGCTGGTTGGTCCCCATTTTTTAAAGTGCAGCAAAGGATAACCAGAATGAATTTTCAAGATTTCTTATTCACTTTCCCCTTAAAATGAAACTGGTGAATGGTGGTCAGTGCTTGGCTATTGTTAAGTTTACTCCCCAAAATGTTGATGAATGAATGAATAAATCATTTTTACTCTTAAAAAAAAAGAAAAGAAAAGAAGAGGGAGAGATGAGCTCTCTCTCTCCCACCGTGCTGTGTGAGGTCACAGCAAGAAGGCAGCCATCTGCAAGCCAGGATGAGAGCCCTCACCACAACCCCACTCTGCTGCCACACTGATCTCAGACTTCCAGTTTCCAGAACTGTGAGAAATAATATCTGTTGTTGAAGCTACCCAGTCTATGTTATTTTGTTATAGAAGCCCATGCTGACTAAGACAGTATTTCCCATAAAAACTCGCACCTGAATGTTCACAACAGCATTATTCATAACAGCCCCAAATTGGAAACAATCCAAACATCCATCAATTAGTGAATGGATAAAAAATGTGGCATATCCATACAATGTAATGCTATTTGGCCGTAAGAGTGAATGATGTACCTCCATGGACTACATGGATGAACCTGGAAGACATGTAGCCCTTAGCCTAGCAGGGAAGTGAAGGCTATGAAAGCACAATTACGTTACAGCGAGGCAAGTACAATGAGGGAGAGAGGCACATGTGAGAGATCTGAGGAGGGGTGTGGGGGCAGGTGTGAGCTGAGGCTGAGAGGAGAAGGAGGAATTAGCCAGGAGAAAGGGAGGAAGACAGGGGACTGTGGGCCCAAAGGCATGCAGGCAAGGGACATTCCGGAGTGTGCTGGGAGCTATAGGCATGGGCACAGCTGGTGTGCAGAGAGGTGGGAGGCATGGCTGGGGAGGGCCTCAGAGGCCACACACCAGAGTGCCATGGTCAGATAGCTGCTAAGTGGACGATGGAACTGGAAGTGGAGGAGTCCATCCAGATGAGAGGCTGAGCAGGGGTGGGAGAGGCAGATCCTGGAAATCTTTAGGGGGTAGAAGACAGGGACTTGGAAGCTGACTGGATACGGAAGGGAAGGAGCCTTGGGTGCATGGATGTGCTCTGCCCTGAAATAGTGGGAGGGGCTGGGTTCAGTTTTGTTTTAGGCAGGTTGCACTTGGGGTGCCTGGCAGCCACCCGTGCAGGTGGACATTTGCACTTGGAACTCGGAAGCGAGTGGTTCAGGCTGGTGACAGAGATCTGAGTGATGCACGTGCAGGCTTGATGACAGTCCCCAGAGTGGAACGGATGAGTGCCATCAGGGAGGTGGAGAGGAGAGAGCAGTGGGCCGGGGCATCACCATTTACAGGCTGGGCAAAGACCCATGTTGCTGTGTGAGCAAAGGACAGCTTGTCTAGGAGGATGACAGGCAGTTCACGGGTCCACTCACATGAAGGCGGGGCGCGTCCACGGACTTAGCAAACAGGTGGACACCAGAAGCCTTTTCTAGGGCAGCGTCAGGGCAGATGCCTGGCTGTTGGAGGACATGGGGTATCTGCTGGGAGGGGGACAGAGGCTGCCCCCTGTGGCAGCCCTTATCAACTGTGTCGCTTATTTTTGTCTATCCCCCAACCAGATGGCACTTCAAGAGGGCAGATACTCTTTCTATATATATGAGTATACATATACTCTTTCTATGTATCTTTGTGTCTCCAGACAAAATCCAATTCACCCCAAACGTACTCACTGTGCACCTGCAGTGCTCGCCATGCACTGTGCTCGCAGTTGAGGGTTTATGGCTGAGCTCAGCCTTCTGGTGGGGCTCATGTAGGTGCTCAGACTGTGTGCATGAAGCTCTGGGCAGGCTCTGCTGCCAACCTGCCGTGTGGCCTCAGGTGAGTTACAGCTCGTCTCTCCAGGAGTTTACTCTCTGGCAGTAGGTGATTTCTGAAGCTCCTCCTGAGGATAGTATGCGACGATTCTGGGACTTCCGTGCCTGCAGCTGCCCACATTACTTGCTGCCCACCAAGCTCTTGGCAGGGTCAAAAGCTTGGGGTGGGGTGGGGAGCTGACACTTCCCAAGACCTTCCTGCCCAAGGATCCGCCTGCCGCTGTCCTGCCACAGGTCCCCATTCATCGTGGTCCACAAGGCCCTGTGCACTCTGCCCCGTCAGCCTCTCTAGCATCACCTCCCACCCAGGCCTGCTGGCTTTGTGGGCTCCAGTCACGGCGGTCTTCGCTCAGATTTTGTTCTCCCCACAAGACTTCTTGCCTCAGAGCCTTTGCACATGCTGTTCCCTCTGACTAGACACCTTGCCCTTAATTCCTCACCTTGTTGACTCCTCCTCATTCTTTAGTGCTTGGCTCAAATGTGGCTTCAGCAGAGACATCTTGGCCCCCTGGGGGACAGTCACACCCCAGTGACACACCTTCAGAGCACCCTGTGCTTTTCTCAGCTCCCGTACCAACATGGTTAACCAAGTAGTTGGGTGTTTAATATCCGTCCAGTTCCGCCCTTAGACCTGTGAGAGGGGTCTCTGCCCTGCCATGGGTCCCACTCTAGCTCTGGACCTTCTCTGTCTGTGCCTCTCCCCCCAGGATGAGGAATCTTTGGCGCCCCCTTGGAGCCCAGGCCCATCCCTTTAGACCATGCTCCTGACACGTGGGACCCCAGGCCCATTCCCTCAGAGGGTGGACCATGTGGGGTGACCAAGGGGCAGCAGATTGCACTGCTGTGTCCACCTGTGTGCACCTCCCCTTGGGCCAGGATGCTCTGAGGGTGGGAAGATATGGTGTGTGTGGCTGAGAGCAGAGCCAGCTCTTCTCATGCCAGCCATCTGGGCACGGAATTCGGAAGAGTCAAAGAAGTTTATGTTAGAACCTGGCCTTCGGGGATTCCCTGGCGGTCCAGTGGTTAGGACTCCTTGCTTTCACTACCTAGGGCGCAGGTTCGATCCCTGGTTGGGGCACTAAGCTCCCACAAGCCGCATGGCAAGGCAAAACAAAAAAACAAAAAAAAAAACCCTGGCCTCCCAGGTCATTATGAAAGATATTTGTCAAAGTAGGAGAATAGAACACATTTTATTGAACACTTGTTAGCTTGATTTATAGCTTTACGATATGTTGACATATGGTGTGAGGCCTCCACTTCTACTCTTGCCCCAGCCCCTCTGGCATTAGGGGTGGGCTTCGGTCAGCCCTGCCTGCCGAACCATAAGCTCCACCAGGGAGGCAATGTGCGGTGCCCCTGCCCCAGAGCACAGTGCCTGGCACAGAGGAGCAGATAATAAATATTGGCTGTGAGAAACACATGAGATGATATGGTGCAAATGTCAATAAATATTAGCTATTATTGTTTGAACACATGAACGGGTAGGTGGGCCGGGGGCTGAGACCCATATACTGAGGTGGTTTGTGTACAAGAAGGGAAGGGGGGCTGATGACCGCAGCATTCACGCTTCCTTTTCTGAGGATGTGCCCTCCTTCCCCCTACCCATCAGGTCTCTGTCCCAGCTCTTCATGGCAAGGTGGGCACCAGGGAGGCCTGCCTGACAGCCGAGGCACTGAGAGGGGCCAGGAGCTCCTGCCAGGGCTACTTCCCCTCCCCGCAGAGAAGAACAGCTGCGGCGGATTCCCTCTTTGCCTCAGGGACCTCCCCAGGCCCAGACAGAACCCACTCGGCTTCGTTTCCCTGCTTTACCATAAGGCCACGCTGGGGTTGAGGGGTAGCTGAAAGGATTGATTTCAGCCTCACAGGAGGCTGTGCTCTGGTGTGAGAGGAGTCAGATCACCCACCAGACCCTGAACAAGGCACTTTGCCTTTGTACGCCTCAGTTTCCTCATCTGTAAGACGGGATTACTAGTAGAAATGGTGCATGTCAAGTGGCAGGTGCAGGGTACACATTTAGTGACCAGGAAGAACCCTTGCACAGAGCACAGGTGGATCAGGGAGGGCAGAGGCCCAGAACCCCAACAGGGAAGTCAATGAAGAGGGTCTACAGCCAGCCAGTGATTGGGCCTGGCAGGAGCTTCAGCCCAGAGGCCTGGGGAAAGGCAGCTTCAGCTGCCCGCCGGAGGCCCAGCTCAGTCCTGTTTCCGCGGCAGGGAGGTTGTCGATTGCTGCTTCATGATGGGCACAGTGCCATGCACGGGGCCGGGGACCCACAGGGTCTCCCTGAAGGCCTCCACCAGGTGCAGGCCTGACGAAGCCAGGAAGCCCTTCGGCCAAATTCCTCCTCGCAACAGCGGCCGTCCCAGAAAACTCTCCCCCCACCCCTCGTTCTCGCACACGCACAGTAGGTGGCGCTGTGATAAAGAACAGAGCCCAATTAACCCCCAAACAGGCCAAATCAGAGAAAAAAAAAAAAAAAAAAAATCACATTTTGCGAACTGCCCACCAGGGGTCACCATACCCTCAGAACCGAGAGGTGCAGAACTCGCACGGACCTGCGGACTGGCGGGAGGCGGAGGGTCTCAGAGATAGAGTCCAGCCGCGTGGCTTCCAGCCGCCCCGCTTCTATGCAGGACCACTGTCGCCGCCCCCACTCCCAGGTCCGCAGCGCCAGCAGCGGGGGTAGGGGTGCGGGCCCGCGGTCAGTGCGGCGGGAAGACGTCTGCGCACTGCTGCAGGATGAGCTCCACCACCTGGTTCTGGAACACCATGGTCATGGGCATGCTGGTTTCCTCTGTCTCGGGCCGCAGCAGCGTGGGCCCGAACACTATGGCCACGCTCTGCACGGACATGCGGTTCTGTTCTCCGTGCTCGATCACCCTGCGGTGGGGGTGGGGTGGAATCAGGGCCCAGAGCTGGGGGGAGGCGTGCGGGGGAGGGTCCTATCAGGCCCGCCTCCCCATTCCCCTGCGGCTCCCCGGCTCACCTGCACAGGTGCTGGAAGAGCAGCCGCATTGTGTCGTGGTTGGGGGCGGGCAGCGAGCGCACCAGGCTCTGAACACAGCGGCTGCGCTGGGCCTGGTCCTGCAGCTCTGGGCAGGGGAAAGGTCAGAGGCAGAGAGAGGAAAGGGAGGGAAACAGAGGGGGCTGACTTCCAGTATTTTGCGGGGGCGGTCCCAGCCAGACGGGTGCCTGAGGCAGCCCAGCCCCACTCCTACCCCATCCGCCCCACCTCCCCCAGGCGCTCACTGATGGCTGCGATGAACTGGGGGAAGTGCGAGAAGGGGAAGAGGGGCTCGGGCAGCTCTCGAAAGAAGAGCTTCAGGGCGCCGGTGATTACGTGGACGTCCTCCCAGCGTCCGTCGTCCAGGTCCAGACGTTCATCTGCGGAAAGGGGGGAGGGGAGGAAGAGGAGGTCAGCATCCCTTTGCGCCCTCGGGCCTGGGGCAGGGACAGGGGACGGGCCTCACCGTGGTCCACTTTATAGCGCAGCTTCTGGATGGTGGCCAGGTTTCCACTGATGCGGTATAGACCGTCGATGTCCAGCCCTGGAGCGGAGGGAGGCGCTGACCGCGGGTTCGGTGGGATGGCGCTAAAGCCCCTGCTATGATTCCTGCTCAGGAACTCCCGTTTTTTCCCCCTCGACCCTGTGCTCCCCGGGGGTTCCGTCTGGGGTCCTGGAAGGAGGCCTTCAGGCTCCCGGAATGCCAGGCCCAGCCGGCCGGCGCACGTACGTACCCCGGGCCTCGACGGCGCGGATGCACTGCTGCACGAAGCGCGGCACCTGGCTCCTCTCGCGCTCACACAGCACGGCCAGCGCGCAGCCGAACACCTGGTCTGGGGGAAAGGCTCGTCAGCGTCGCCTCGCCCCTGCGCCACCGGCGCCCAGCTCTCCGGGTCCCTCCTGTACCTCTGATGTAGCCCTTCTCCCGCAGCGACTGCAGCGTGGGCCGCTTCAGCAGGAGCTTGCGGAGCTTGTTCCGGACCTTGCTCAGGTCGCTCTCCAGACCTCCGTGCCCCGGGGTGGGCACGGCTGCCCAACGGGAATGGGAATGCCAGGGCTGGGTCAGTCAGTGGCGCCGGGGTTGGCCCGGCAGCCCTAGCCCGGTCGTCACCACCCCGCCCCCCCCCACCCCGCCCAAAGGATGCCCACCACCCCCTCCACCAGCCTCACCCCCAAGCACACCTGCACCAGGCCGTGCCTCATCGTCCCGCCAGCTTCCTAGGCGCTCACTCGACCCAAAGTCCACGCTGCTGCTCTCACTTTCCTCCTCGGGGGGTAGGTCTGCGGACTAGAATCACACAGCCTCAGAGAGGCAGAGCCTTGGGCCAGCTGCATGTCCTTCTGGGATGGGGTGAGGGACCCGAAGTGCCCTCCCAGCAGGCCTGGACTGGAGACCCCCAGGCAGGGAGTTTGCTGTTTCCTTATCCAGGTCAACCCCCTTCACCTCCACCAGAGAACCCCAAACGCTCCCCTCCCTTGGCTGCATGGAGCCCTCCAGGTGTTGGAGACAGTCATCCTGTTCTCCCTCACCTTTTCTTATCCTGACTACCCCTACCGACCCCCCCAGTTCCTGGTCCACTTTCCCCATAATTTTCCTTAGCTCCTCTGTACACACTCCAGTAGGTCAGTATTCCTCAATACGAGGCTCCCAGTTCGAGCTTGCAGTTTGAGCTGGGGCCGGAGCGCTGCCAACAACCTCACAGGCATCACCTCCCTGGATCTGGATCCCTACCTCTATTAATACAGCCAAGCAGGGCACCCAGTGTTGCCTAGTCCCTTAATAGGGACTTAAGGATCAAAAAGCCTCAGGTTGTTTCCACGTGAAGAGCTGTCAGAGCGGGCCTACCCCATCTCTACTTATGCAATTGATATATTGAACTTAAAAAACAACGCTAGACTCATCAATTCAATCCTTTTAAATTCTGTCTTCTGGTTTCAGCCTGTCTTTCCAGCCTGAGGCTGTTAAGCAGAGTATTTACTTTTCTCTTGCCTCAGTGTGGAATGGGACACTCCTCTAGGATATGCCCACCTGGAGAGTCCTCCTGTGCGGCCAACCCCAGAGGCTGGATTCACTTCCTTAAGAAAGGCTAATTTCTTCAGCAGCCCATCTGCATCTGCAGAGAGGGCTACTTACCCACTGGTTTCATGGAGCTCCCAGTGCCCGAGTGGAGGGCCCCACCCACGGTGGGCACAGCTGCCCTGCATAATGGCTGTCCATCCCCTCCCCACCAGCCTTGGCGGCCCCCAGCTCTGCCTACCAGCTCCTGGATGCCCTGGGCGATGGCCTTGTGCCAGGTGCTGATGATGGCTTCCGAGTCATGCTGGATCAGGTACTCCGAGCCATCTCGGCTCCGCAGCTGGTGGGACACAAATCACTCAGTCACCTCTGGTTCGCTGGGTCTGTCCCAGGGGGGATACCGAGGTAGAGGTGATCTGTTCCTGTCCCCAGGAACTCAGAGCCTAACAGAGCAAGGGCCTCACCCCAAGCCAAGGTATTTCACCTCATTAAATTGGTAGGTAACAGCATCTCCGTGTTACAGATGGGCAAACTGAGGCACAGTGAGTGTAAGCAACTTCCTCGTGGACACACAGCTAGTGAATGATGGAGCAAGGATCTGAGTGCAGAAGATCTGCACATCTGTCAACGGTCTGGTGTGCTTTTCCCTGCCCCATCCTGTCTCTCCATGAGCCACAGAACACGGCAGGCCCACCCAGAGCACGGGCCAGCAAAAAAGTCAATGAAAGAAACTCCCGGTGGGAGACCCCAAATCCACTATTTTATACTATTGAGGAGCAAGCAGACATTAACAGCCTGGGCTATTTTTCAGCTGACTGCTGTTTCCCTAACAAAGTCTACAAAGAACAAGGTGAGGCAACTTGGATGGATCTCTCCTCAACCTCTGGCTCTGAGAACCAAACGTTCAAGGTTGATGGGAATGGTTGGTTGCCACAGCTTTGGGTCAAATGAGAGTCAGAGTCAGCAAAAAATGTCTCAGACAACAGGGTACAAACTTCCAGAATCAGAGAGGGCTGTGTTTTGGCTGTCTACCTATCTAACTCAGACTTGAATGCTACTTAAAATGCTTCCCAAGACAAAACCAAACAAACCTGCAAGTTCTACCCCATCCCCCTCCCTGCAAAGACTAGAGAACCTTCAGTGGGCACACCTCGTGTGTGCCCACAGATAGCACAACCTCGTGCTAACCTAAACTGACAGGGGCCCTGTCTGTTATCCCAGAGAATGGCCTAACAATGCCTCTGAAACAATAGCCATTATTGTTGGCAGCTGTCTCAAAACATATTCAGTTCATATTTGAGTTTCATACGGAGGCACATCTGTCTAGTTACATTATCAATATACTGCTCAAGACACTCATTCTGTTTACTGCACAGGCAAGCCGAGCTCAAACCGGCCATTCTCAGGGGACTGTTACTGAAGTTTTCTGTGACTCTGGGGTGACTAGAAAGACCGGCCATCCTCAACGATATAGAATTTGGGGCGGTCTCTTGAGAAATATCCAAAGTCACCTACAGGTCACCCCTGAGTGGAGGAAGGATGGCTGCCAGCCAGTGGGAAGCAGGGGCCTCCAGGATTTCCATTCAAGGCTGTCAGCCTTCCCGTCCGCTGGAGGAGCTCTCAAAAGCACCATCTGCCTTCCAGTCCTTGCCAGAAAAGACAACTCAGAAGTGTCTCCTCTGAAACTTTCATCCAAAGCCCGGTCAGAGAGGTGACATTCAGACAGCCCTGTTTGAAGGATGTCCCTCCAGATCAGGAAGGAGCATACCTAGCAAATATGATGTCCCTCCTCAATCTGACGTCCACGGCAGACATTGCTAGTCGATTACAGCGCTAAGCCTGGAGAAGGCTCCTGACCTACTGATCAGAGTGGCTCATGAGACAAAACAGGTGTCCAGCTCTGCTCTGTGGATACTCTGGTTCTAGAACTGAATGAAGCTGGGTGAATTATCATTAAACGACACACTCAAGCTCCTTGCAGAATTGCTTTTTCTGAGCTGAGATGGAAGGTCATGCTTTTGGGGCTTTCATCAGATGTTAGCTGAAGCAGCCCAAGCGTCCCTTTACTAAACTAGAACGGAGCTGCACACTAGAAACTGATTTCCCTCAAAATCTAGGAAGGTTTCCCCCTGCCCCAATAATAAGAGCCATGTAACTGACGGCCGTTCTCTTTTCACTCTGGCGACCAGGAAGCCTGGAGGTGACTTTTTTCAGCAACGACAACTTTAGTACCTGTACATCATTCTAATCCCTCTCCACACTGCCCCTCTTCCTCTAACTTGTTTTGTGCGTCCTGGCTTTCAGTGGCTTTTACCAGCTCACCATATGCATTTTTATTGTGAGCGGCCTCAAAACATTTGGGGACTGAGGTGAGGGTAAGAGTAGTTTAAAAACAAGACAACACATGGACAGTGAAGGGAAACACAACAGTGAAGACGGTGAAGACAACACATGGACAGTGGCCTGGGAGGGTCTTGCCTGGGCCCCACCTGGCCTCTCTCTTCCTGCTGCAGAGCCTGAGAAACGTGTCCACTACCCTGGTTTACTCACTGCTAGTTGGAAGCTGGGCTCTGACCAGCTAGAGCAGGTGTCCCAGCCTACCAGAGTAAGTAGCTGGGGACCCAGAGACTCCTGTCTGTCTCAGGCCAAAGCAGCTGGGATGAGGACTGCACTTCTAGGCATGACAGTTTCATTCCCCAAGGACCCCCTACTTAGGACCAAGGACTCCAGTGAACTCCACTCCTGGAGAGGGAGCTGCAGAATCTGTGATGCCAGGAAACACTGTGGACGGATCCCCAAGGTGGAGGCAGTTTTGGTTTTGAGCCCCGAGAATTCCAGCCCTAACTCCCCAGGTCCACCTTCTTGGGGCTTGCTTAGTGAGGGTCCCAAGCCATCAGTAAGCCCCTTCTCCTTCTCCCCCACCCCACCACTCACCTCCAGCACATTCTTCTTGCTGGATTTGTCTTTGGGGGCCCAGGCGAGAGAGGCCCCCTTCAGCTCCACCGTGTACTCGGGGGTGGAGAGCTTGGAAGGCTGCCTCTGTGGGAAAGGGAAGAAGGGTTGGAGGGAGCATGGTTACAGCGCACCCTCAGCTCAGCTTGGGCCCGTCACAGCGTCCTGGCTCCAATATACCAGGCTCCCTTGGCTTCAGGGACAAAATGGGGTCACAGCTCTGGGGGCAGGGGGCCCAAGGGTTCCTGGACCGCAGAGATCCTGGTACTTCTTAACCATGGAGCCTGCAGGCTGGCTGGTTGTTTGCTACCTGCCCACCTAGGATAGGAAAGGAGAAAGGAGTGCAGCCCCATCTCTGCGAGCAGGTGTGTCCAGTCCCCAGCCTCCCTGCCCACCAGGCTGGAGCTGTCCATCCTCAGGGACTGGTCCCCAGGCCCAAGGTGGCTGGAAGTGCTTGTCCTGGGGTGATCTGCTCTCGTCACCCCCTGCCAAGGCCCAGCTCCCTTGACACTCATATTCCACGGTCTCAGACCTAGCCTTTGGCAAGGCTGATGAGATGAAGACCCACAGGAGTCAGGAGCAGACGGGGTGGTCCCTGCTGGGCGCCTGGGCCTTACCAGGCCACCTGCAGTCGAGGTCTTCGAGTCCTTGAAGAATGTCAGGATGCCGCCCTCCAGCACTGTCCACGAGGCACTCCAGTTCTTCTTCCTAGGCGGGGCGGTGGTGGCAGGGCTTGGGTTCGGTCCTGGGCTGAGGCCCCCCTCCCACCCCCAGAAGCAGGGCACAGACTTTAAGAACACAGCTTGGGGCACCCAACCGTAAGGGGTGGACTCCCAGCGCTAACACCTGGTAGCCAAGGGACCTGGGGCAAGTCACTTCCTCAGTGCCTCAGGGTCCTCACAGGACCTCATAAAGTCGCTCTGAGGGTTAACAAGAGCCTGGCATACGGGAAGTGCTCAGTGAACGGCATCGTTAAGGCCCACCGTGGAGTCTGGGGGCAGACGGGTTCTCACCGGAGCCGCTTTCCTTTGTCCACCGTCTTGGTTCGATGGAGCACGCCTGCCTTGTCCAGGGTCTTGATCTTAGAGAAAGAAGGGGAAGGAGGAGGCAGGTAAGGGGGGAGCCACGGGGGTGGGGCGGGGGGCCAGAGGCTTGCCTCCCTCTCAGCCAGCCACTCCCCACAGGCTGGGCCTGAGTCTCCACTGAATCCTCTTTGCCGGCACCTGGCCGCTGCTTGGTGGGGTGCCTGCTCCCACAGCAGGAGCAGCAGCAGGAGAGACTTCCTTCCAGCTCTGAGCCTCGCCCAGCTCTGAGCCTGGGATGACCCAGAACCCAGGTTCATTCAGCCCAGGCTAGTGCTCGGGGCTATGGTGGAGACGTGCCTCCAGACCCAATCCCAGCCTCCAGAGCCTCCAGAAACACCCCAGTTTTTCTGCGGGGGTCCTGCCTGGTCCTACATGCCCCCTCCCTCACCTTCTCCTCAGGTGGGCTGGCCTGGGCCGGGGTCTCACTGTCCTGGCTGGATTTGCGGATGCTTCGAGGGGCAGGGACAGGGACCTGGGGAGAAAGACACTGTGGTATATAACCGACCCCCTCCTCTCCCCGGCACTCTCCCTTCCCCACTTGGTTACCTGGGGCAGCTCCCACTGAACGGAGGCGTCATCTGGATTGTAGAAGTAAGGCTTCCCGTGTTGGTCCTCCAACCTCATCCACTGTGGGGAGAGGGACGGTCAGGGACCTAGCTCTCCTCATGATGGGGGAGCAAAAGGTTCCCTCCAACCAGAGCCCAACATAGCCCCAAAGAGTTTACACGGGCAGGTGTGGGTGATTCGGTCTTGGGCTGACTTGGAGCCCGCGCGGGAACTTCAGTTTACAGTGTTAAGGGGAGCGACCCCGCGGCTGTCTGGGACCATCTGCCCACTGCCCCTACCTGTTCTTGGGTGTAGGTGTTAGTGTACAGCGTCTGCCCATCCTGGCTCACGTGGCAAGACCAGCCTGGGGGTGTGACCAAGGGAGAGGCGGGGCCGGGCTCACCGAAGGAGCCCACGGGGGAATAGTCTTCCTCTGGGTAACTGGTCAGCAACTCGGGGTAGTCCGTCTCAGGGGTGGGGGGCTGCAGGGAGCAGAAGAGTCAGAGGCTCTCAGAGCCAGCAGTGACCTCAGGGGCCCGGCCCTTTCGGTCCAGGCCACGCCCCCTCACCCTAGTTCCCCCGAGCTGTGGGAGACAGAGGCGGGGTCAAAGTCTCTCAGAGATAGCCCCGCCCACCCATGACCACGACTCCTCTCTCTCTGAGGCCCTCAGAGCCAGCCCCGCCCACCCTGGCCAGGCCCCGCCCTTTCAGACGAGGCCCCGCCCCTCACCCTCTGGTCCCTGGGGCTGCCGGGGCTCAGGCCAGGCTGCATCTCCTGCTCGTCCTCCGGCTGGTCCTCGGACTCGTCCTCCCAGGCCGTCTCGCCCGTCAGCGGGTTGTAGAAGAACACCCTGCGGCTCTCCTCATCCCAGTACTGGCCCCACTCGGTCTCGAGGCTCTCGTGGCTGCCCACCGAAGCCGGAGACGTGGCCGGGCTGGCGGCGCCCTCGGCAGCCTCGAAGGGCGACTCCCAGGTGGTCACGCCCGTGTCCGGGTTGTAGTAGTAGGGGCGCCCGGTGCCCGCGTCCGTGTGCGTCTCCCACACCGAGCCGGTGCAGTGGGCTGCGGTGGCGCCAGGCGACGTGGCCCGAGGCTGCCTCTCTACGTTCGCGTACACGGGCTCTGGGAGGTCATCCACCTGAGGCGGGAGGAAGGAGACGTGACCTTCAGGGCAGCCCCGCGGTCACATCGTCCCCACTCGGGCACTCGCCACTTGGGCGACTGTCAGCAAGTCACAGCACCTCTCTGCCTCGGTTCCCCCAGCTGCAAAATGTCTGCCCTCCCCACTCCGGAAATTGTAGTGAAGAGAGAATGAGGAAATGTTCTTGAAAAGTGCCTTGTAAAGTATGAAGTGCCCCAGATGCATGGGACAATTAGATTAATCATTTATTAACAGTAGTAAAATATCGATAACGAAGTTCTCCAGCTGCACACTCACAGGTGTGAATCAAAGGTTGCGCAGGAACAGAGAAATGGCCTGGGCCCAGTTCTTTCTTGCCCCAGGCCCCAGGACACTTGGGGGCGGGGCCTTGCTCCATTCTACAGCCCCCACAAAGAACCCCCAGCCCTCCTTCCTCCTCTGCCAAGAAACCTCTGAACTGGAACCAGTACTGCCTCCGGTTCCAGATTTGGAGCTGGTACTTCCCCAATACAGGGTTTGCAGGCCTCAGAATCAATCGCAGACAAGAGAAAGAGAAAGAACCAGATGGGAAGGAGGAAGGAGGGCAAAGAAAAGGTGAGCCCCATGTCCCCCTCCAAAGTAAAGTGAGGTGGGTTGGAGGGTCCAGTTACACAGAATATAAGCCTGGTCATGCTTAACACCCTCACGGCTCCCTGCTACCTGCTGGGCAAACTCTAAGCCCTTACCAGGGCCCCAGAGGCCTTCCGTCACCTGCCTGTCTTCCCCCCTATTTCCTGCCACTCCTGGCCCTTGCCTTGAACTTTAAGCTCCAGTAGCACCGGCTTGCTGGAGGCCCCCAGCCTCTCTGCTGTGTCTGCTACAGGCCTCTGCTCCCTCACAACCTGCCCCTCCTGGCTGACTTCTATTCCTTCTTTAGGACTCAGCTCAGGTGTCAGGTTCCAGATCTCTCCCGAGATTTCTCCTGTGTGCCCACCACCCCCAGCCTAGCACCCACCAGAAAGATAATGACACTATCAAACCCCAGGCAGCAGAAGAGCACGAGGAGATTAATACTGTTTTCTAAGAATGCATAATTCTTAGAAATTTTCCCATACAAGGGAAAAGCAGATTTCAAAAATGTAAACTCAGCACAATTCCAATTTTGTGTTTTTAGAAACTCTCCAAAATGCTAACAGAGGTCATCTCTGGGTAGGGTAATTATAGGACTTGGATTTGGTCTTGTTTAGTTTTTTTCTTTTCTGCAGCAACAAAATTTTGTGCAATAAATCTTTTTTAAAAAATCATAGAGGGACTTCCCTGGTGGCGCAGTTGTTAAAATCCGCCTGCCAATGCCGGGGACACGGGTTCGAGCCCTGGTCCGGGAAGATCCCCCATGCCGTGGAGCAACTAAGCCCATGCGCCACAACTACTGAGCCTGTGCTCTAGAGCCTGCGAGCCCCAACTACTGAGCCCACGTGACACAACTACTGAAGCCCGCGTGCTCTGGGGCCTGCATGCCGCAACTGCTGAAGCTTGTGTGCCTAGAGCCCGTGCTCCGCAGCAAGAGAAGCCACCGCAATGAGAAGCCCGCGCGCAGCAACGAAGACCCAACGCAGCCAAAAATAAACAAATTAATTTTTTAAAAATCATAGAGGTTCCTCTGTTGCTGTAACACCTTCACTAAGCTATAAACCAGGGGTCCCCAATCCCCTGGCCATGGACCGGTAGTGGTCCCCAGCCTGTTAGGACCTGGGCCGCACAGCCCAAGGTGAGTGGCAGGCGAGCAAGTGAAGCTTCATCTGCTGTGCCCCACCACTCCCCATGGCTGGCATTACAGCCCGAACCACCCCCCCCCCGCCCCGGTCTTCCATGAAACCGGTCCCTGGTGCCAAAAAGTTTGGGGACTGCTGCTATAAACTACTCGAGAGGGGAAGCACCTCCCGCTCAAGGCAGCCTCTCACTGGGCCTTGGGCAGGCGCCTACAAAAACATTCACTTGGCCAGCAAAGATCTGCCTGCTCTGTGCCAGGCACTGTTCTAGGCACTGGGAATGCAGCCGTGGACAAATGGACACAAATCTGCCCTGGCGGAGCTGACACTCTAGTGCATATGTGTGTAAATGGTGGTAGGGTGAGGAGGGCACCAAGCAGGGTGATAGGGAAATGCACCGCACCTCAGTGATAACTGCTGCTAACAAGAAAACAAAAATAGAAGGGGGTGTTTCTATTTGAGACAGTGTGATGGGCCCCAGGCACGGAGGGGGCAGGAAGACCTGCGCACACCGGTCCACTCCTCTCCCTCGCTCCACAAGCTCCTGTGTGGCCGAAATGGGACCTTCCGCACCACTTCTCTCTCTGTCCACAACAGCCCTCCTGTGGCATCCTGTATTCCAACCACACTGGCCTGCTGACCCTCCCCCAAACACAAAAGGCATCTTCTTACCCCCATGTCTTTGCTCCAGATGTTCCTGCAGCCTGGAAACCCACCACCCTCCCTCCCCATTCCCTGCTGCTCCAAATCCCGCTCCTCCGCTGGTGCTCAGCTCACAAGCCTCACCTGGGGGAGGCTTTCTCCCTCCGATGAGAAGTCTAACCCGTTGGCACTCTGCTTGTCGCTCTGTTGGGGCCCGATGGCATTCTGCCTTGGTGGTCCGTTCATTGTCCACCCATCTGCCTAACTTCTCTGCCCCCAAAAGGCAAGAGTGTCTTGAGATCAAGACCCAGGATGATGTAACTGACCATAGTCGACCCCCAGGAGATGGTCCAATGCCCTGAGCCACACAGCCGATCCATCAAAAACACTTACTGAGTGGTCCAGTGGTTAAGACTCCGCGCTCCCAACGCAGGGGGCCCAGGTTCCATCCCTGGTCAGGGAACTAGATCCCACATGCCACAACTAAGAGCCCGCATGACGCAACTAAGGATTCCGAATGCCGCTACAAAAAGGTCCCAAGTGCCACAGCAAAGATGTCACGTGCCGCAAATAAGACCCGGCACAGCCAAGTAAATAGATAAATATTAAAAAAAAAATGCTTTATAACAAACAAACAAACAAAAACAATTACTGCATGAGTACGCAAGTCAATTCCATGCCAAACTTCAGTAACAAACAAAAACCAAACACACCTGATATTACAGGAGAGACTGGGGTTAACTTTGAGCAAGAACTTCCTGAAAATGAGAGTTCAGGCACAGGAACCAGGGAAATCCTTGGGAGAACAGGATATGGGCAGTGGGTGGAGGAAAGTGGATGACCGGACACACCTCCTACCCACCCCAGCTGGACCCCAGCGGCCTTGCTCATCCCGGGGACAGGGGCTGGAAGGGTGCCAAGGAAGGAGACAGGCTCTTGGGAGTGGGGAATTCCACGTGGCCAGGCTGCTGGCCCTGGCTCTGAGTCCACGGGGAGCCCCAGGCTGGTCCGGCTGATCGGGACCTTGTACAAGGAACACGCCCAGCCGGTATAGAGGAGATTTGGGAGGTAGAAGTTGAGGCCCCCCACGTGACTGTCACCAGGAAGAGAAGACACAGAATTACACTGGGGAGCTCCAGACTGCAAATCAGAGGCCAAACGGGGGCAGGGCAACGCCCCTTGGAGGGAAGCACAGTCTAAGGATTGGAGCTGCCCCAGAGACACAGGCAGCTTTGGAAGGTTGTGAGGGGCCTTCGTCTGAGGTGGGCAAGCAGAGTCGAACCCCTGCTAGGGATGCTGCAGCGCTGTGGAAAGAGCTGGACTGAAGTAGCCCCGAGGCCCTTTCAGACTCTAGAACTCTCTGTAGAGCCCCTGCAGTGCTGAGATAGAGGTACTTTCCTCTGCTGGCAGAGCCTCAGACAGGCTCAGACTGGCTCCTGGAAGCCAGGTGGTAAAGCCAGGCCCTCCAGGCCCTCAGGCCTTCAAGGAGGAGCTCTCCCGGGTTAGAGCAGGGCTGCCGCCCCTCCCCCAACTCCTGGAGACCGAGACTAGATGCAGACACAGCCCGTCAACAGGGGTCTGACTAGGGCACCAGGGGCTCTTGGGCCCCAGATCCCAGTCATGTTAGAGACACAGGGGACACTGAGTGGGAAAGAGAAAGTGGTCTCCCACCTCAGTCCGGAGAACAGAGCCAAGAGGGGCCCGGCTGTCCCCGTGCCCCTCTCAAATCCAGTCCCCTCCCCTTGCCCACAGGCAGGTGACAGGCCTTGCCTCTCCCCTCCCCGCCCCCCAGCCCCAAAGCAGGTCACCACCTCTCAGCATCCCTATGCCACCCCTCTCAGACAGGCGGGGCCTCAGAGAAGGAAAGAGGAAAGAAGGGAGGAGTCCCACCTCGGTGAGGCTCCCTCAGCTCCTAGTGGGGCCAGAGAATGGAGGCCCACTGGCAGCCCCTGACCCCATAGACCCCTCTGCCATCCCCATCAGAGGCTGAGCTCTCCCCCAAATGCCAGGGTCCCCTACCTGTCCCCGCAGGCCCCGACTCTGCCTCCTGGTCAGTTTGGCAATGATGTCCACCATCCTGTGCCCCTGAGCTGCTGGGATGGAGCCCTGGGAAGGCTTTGGGGGTGGAGCTAAGGGGCACAAGCCCAGGGCTGGTACAGGGCAACAGGGAAACAAGAAGTTGTCTTGCGATGGCGGGAGGCTGAGCCTCCAGCCCATTTCCTGTCAGGGCTGCGGAAATGCTGCCTGAGAAGGAGGCCGCCTGAGACAGGGTGGGGTGGAGTCAGGTAGGGGTACCTCGGGGCAGGGGTATTTTATGTCCAGGGAAACCACTGACCACCCCACTCAGTGCTCTGATTACCAGGGAGTTCTGAAACCCAGGCCCAGACACAGACGCGGAGCAGGCTGCACAGAGGACGGCACTGGGCCCATGGTGGGGGGGAGGGGTGGGCTGCACATATGGGGGCCGGCAGAGGGGGCAGCTGGGTGCTGGGGCCTGGGCTGGTGTAGACAGGACAACGAGTGGCCGTCAACTCCTCCAAGGCCCAGGGAGGATGTGATGGAGAAGAGGAAGCTTGTGTGTGTGTGGGGATGTCTCAAAGAGGAAGG